TGGGTCATATTTATCATAATGAAATGTTATTTTGTTTATTTTATCAAGCTTTAAATCAGACCTATAAAAGTTCTTGTTTTCTACGCTTATCTCTATATCTGATGCCATATTATTTATTGCATTGTTTAAGTCTTCTTCGTTTAATATATTATATCGTCGTGAACGAATACTAGCAAAAAATCCTTATCTTCATCTTCTAAATGCTTAAACTTAACGGATACGTCAACTAAAAGTTTCATACTCTTGTTGTTATTTAAATATTCTGACAATCTAGGTTTTTGATAATATATGTGTGATAATCCTGCATATCCTAATTTTTGAATGTTTGTTATAGCACATGTGTTAGCATAAGCTTTTAAAGCTGTAAATACGTTAGTTCTTGTGCCGAATGTTGATATAGAATATGGTTTTAAAGCTTTTCTTACTGCTATTCCCTTAGATGCTTTATCCAGTATGTTAAAACGTTTATATTCTGGTGTTTTTTCTATTTGTTCTAATTTGTTTAGGAGTGTTCCTGGAAAAGGTTTTGTATATGGGTATTCTTTATCATCTATAACAACTTTTTTTAATTGTTTACCGTCTTTATTTGTTTTAATTTTACCTACATCACTGTTTAAAACGTATTTCATTACAGATTTTTGTCTATTAATATCCATATTATGATAATATAGATTTTCTTTTAAGTAGTTTTTTATCTCCGTGTCGGGCTGGGGCTCTCCATGCCCTTCAAGGTGGCTTCTCCTTAAGTAGGGGCGCGGGGGCGCGTGTGGGCACCGCCTTAAAAATGTAAAATTGTGTTTTATAATAACTGTATATTATAAAACGTAATTAATAAATAAAGTTGTTTTCATCGTGTTCATCATATATTTGTTCTTGTTCCTGTGATATTCTATCTACTTGTAATTCTAATTGTCTTCTTGCATCTTTTTTATTGCGTTGTTTTTTAAGTTTTTCTATTTCATCACATAAATCACAACCTTCGAAGGTTTTCTTACAAAAAACACAACCAGTGAAATATACAATATGTTGCGTTTTATGTTCTGGTAAAACTTGTATTGAATTATTTAAATGTTTCTTTTTATCATTACAAATCATACAATAAATGGGATGTTCTTCATCATCATAGTCTATAAGACGGTTATAATATTTAATCTGTTCTGGTTTAACATCGTCTTTTGACATAAACATTATATTATTATAATGGTAAAATGTCTTTAAGTATATTTTCTTTTCTGGGCTGGGGCTCTCCATACCCTTTAACGTGGCTACCCTTTAGGTAGGGGACGCGGGCGCGCGGGCGCGAACCAAATACCTAAACCAGCCCCAAAAAAGGAGCACTTTTTAACATGAAGGGAAAAGAAGCGACGAGACGAAAAGAAAAAACAATAAAAATAATCGGGTGCGCTCCTTTTTTATAAACGCACCTAACCTAAACCAAGCCACAACAACCCTGAACACTAAACCACAACAACCCTGAAAAACCCTGAACGCCTAAGCCGAAAAAGCCCAACGGGGGAGGTCGCACCACAGCATTGAACTCGTTGAACAGAGTGTCGTTGTTGAAGAGGAAAACCTGCCATATTATTAATGAAACTTTTCTTTAAATACTAAAAAGTGCATCGGGTCAAGTCGGGGATTATTGGATTTTTTTTCGTGGTCTATCATACTATTATTTTTCATGATTTGTGTTGTATTTTGTATATGATTTACCACTATTTCTAAGGTAAATATTATTTTTATGCATACTACATGCTTTGATTTTTTATTTAAGGGTTTTAGGGGTTTAGGATGCATTGCAAACAACAGCATCTTCTTTTCACAGAGAGCATAACACCCGTTTTGTTCATCATCTTTCTCTTTGAAAGATGACTTGACTGAACCCACAAGTCTTTACCAGTAGACTTGACCCACCATTTGGTAGGATTTAGGTGAAGAAGAAGCACCGTTAATCATTACTCAAGGGCACGAGTAATCATTACTCAAGGGCACGAGTAATCATTACTCAATGGCACGAACAATCATTAATCATTACTCAAGGGCATGAATAATCATTATTCAAGGGTATGAGTAATGATTTTATGGCATATGGTGCTTCCTTACATCTTCACGTCTGCTCCGTTCTTTTGTAAGGACAACCTACGTTGAACTTCTTCCTCACTTGTTAGTGTGGTATATCTGTCATGAATTATGGTCTCAAAGGCACTGTTGTCAATCTTCTTACCATTACCAAACTCAAGGATGTAGCGCGCTTCCAACTTCTTCAGCAATATCCTGCGAGCGACCAAAGCGTCGTCACTTATTCTCTGAAGCTCATTAACCAGCGGTAGAACTGAAGGAGCGACTGCAAGGACAACCCTTTCTGATGATGATTGTGCGTTGTTGTATTCGCCATACAAGTCGTCTAACTCGGTGGAGTTCATCTTACTCACGGCGTTCTGGAAGTAGTTAAAATCCTTCTCAATCGCGTCAAAGTTGTGCTTCACCTTTTCCATGAACTGGTTCTGCATAGTTTTCCGCATCATTTTGTTGATGAAGTCGTTGAGGTCTTCCATGTTGTCTTCAATCTTTCGCTTCGCCATGGTGGCGCGTTAAGCACTGAGACCACCTAAAAAACTGATAAGCAACAAATGCTACGGATATTCACAGCTCAAGCTCACTCAACAAGTCTCAAAGCTTCACGTGGAAACTGACCGTCTGAGCACTTGGATTTCTTTCGTCAGTGTGGTAGCCTATAGCTCGGCTTCAAAAGTAAGGAGCAGTCGCATCCATCCTCATAATCTTCTCTCATATTTTAACGGTAAGATTATTTTTTGTCTTTATGAGGAGTATAGCGACTATGAAGTCAGAATCTTCAAACACCGCTCACTTCGGGTATCCGCTACTGCTGGAGGTGCCCTTCGCGCCCTTCTTGTCGTCATCCTTCTTGTTGTCCTTGTGCTTCTTGTCATCACGCTTGCCCATGGCTTCGGAGAGTGCTTGCTGTTTCTTTTGTTACCCGCTTCTTTGTGTGTTCGTCTTTTGGAACAAGACGTAGAACATCTCCTTCAATCATCTTCCATGTTGACAAAGGAGCGCGTAGATGTTGAGAGAGACGCTCCTTGCCATACTCCATGTCAAAGCTGGTAGCCATTTCAAACGACGTCTTAGTGTAGCCGAGCTTAATGAGACGCTCTGAGTGCTCCTTGTATGTGCTCGTCGTTGAGACCTTCACCTTGATGATCTTGTCATTATCACCTAAGTCAATGCCGATGGTGATGTTCTGCTTCTTTGTCACCGTGAAAGTCTTGACCAACCAATCCTTTGCAAGCTTGATGTTATGCTCAATGCGCAAGTTCAGCAACTCCATCTTCGCCAATGCTTCTTTGACGCCTTGAACATCGTTGTTTTCAATCAAGCTCTCGATGTCGGGGATGGAGAACCGACTGATTGAGCTGGTGACGCTGTCATTGTCTGTGACTTCCTCCTCTGCACTTTCTTCATAAAGATGCCCCTGCAACTCCACGGCGACCGCCTCATCATCCACGTTATCCGACATCGCGAACAACGCTTACGAATTTAGGGTGATTGCCTTGAACACGAAAAGAGCTCTGGAAAGAAGACAGATTGAAGCTCTTGTGCTGACACAGAAATTGTATGCAGACAGCCTGAAGAGTTCAAGTGCGACTGGTTAAACTCGTCACGCGCACCTTGTTGACGTTGAAGACGAAGAAGACAAAAGCCACCACAGAAACCTAGACATAGTATTATATAGAATATTATACATAATACCCCGACATAAAACCGACTAAGGAAGGAAACCTATGCCTAAGCTTATGACATAAAAATCGCATAAAATATCGGGATAGGGTCTTAGGTAAAACTTATACAAAACCCTATGATAATAAACCATCATAAGTTGTAGGTAATAAGAATAATTCAAAAGATAACCCCAAAACTACATAAAGATTTTATATGAGGATACAACAAAAACGATAACGAACAAGATAGACAAGTTGAAATATAGGGGCCTATATAGGTGGTAGGGGTGTAGCCCTAGGAACCCCCTTTTACTAATTTTTGCCCCAACCCCCCCCCGGTCCCCCAGCCCAGCCCCTAACCCAGCCCTCCCAGCCAGCTGAACATGCAGAAAGCCTCCCCAGCCCCCAGCCCAGGCTGGCCACAGCCCAACACTAAATCAAGGTTCCAAAATCAAAACTCTTGTCAAAACATTTCGCCCAAAACGTTTCGCCCAAAACGTTTTTGGGACCCAAACCCTTAACAATTTCTATAAACCCTAAACCGTTTAACCGCCATGACTTTCTTCCAGGCTCCAGAGGGCGATGGTGCTCGGGCCCTTCGTGGTCGTCGCCACCTGCAGAGGCCATGGGCTTGGGGCTTAGGGTTTGGGGTTCAGGGGTTTGGGGGTTTAGCTACCGAGTTGGGATTTGGGTTTGGGTTAGGGTTAGCGTTTTGGGGTTCCGAGTTTAGGGCTTAGGGTTGAGGGTGTAGGGTTCAGGGCATTGTACAAGCTTCAGTCTGTAAGCGTTTATGAGAGTTTGGTAATGATGTTAAAGGATCTCACAACCTCAGGGCCTGGGTGAGACTTTAGCGAGTTGGGGATCAGAGTTGACGGCGTTAGTTACCCATCTAAAGTTGCTTCTGGCTCATTGCTTTGGAGGGTTTTGAGTTTAGGGAAGGTCGGTTGTGGGGTGTAGGGGCGTGGGGTCAACGAATTCACGGAAGAGCTTTGGGCCATAGGGCCCTAAACACTTACGGATGGTGATATTATTCCTTAGGGTGTCCTAGCGCATGTGCCTTTTGCAGTATGCAGCGCCTGCTTCCTTAGTCGAAGCATTCTCGCTTCTGAAACCCTTAGCTCTCTGTTGGAGTGCCCAATTCAGCTGTACATGGGAGTTTCCGATAATAGGGGACCCTAACATAGTACCCTAAATAGTAGGATCCTTATTATAAGGATCCCAAAATAAGGTACCCCTAATTGTCGGAAGCTCCCACATGTGGCCTCAAGAACTTGCTGCTTCACCCTGGCTCTGTTCAAAGGTCCAAGTGCCTGCAGCCAAGCGGATTTCGTCAAGCTCCTTCCTTCAATGCGGGGCGGGCTCAGTGCAGTGCTCAAGGTTTGGAGCAATGGCAGTTACCAGGGGCAGGGGACTTGCGATTTGCGTTTAGACTTCGTTTAGCGCTTAGGGGATGCGTCTTCTCGCTGGATGCCTCTGCTGCACTTTCACTTCTGCTGCCACACTCACAACTAGGTCCTTGCAAGGGGTTTACACCACTATAGTAGCAAACCATTGAGCTTCAACTATGAATCAGGAGCCTTTGAAACGAAACCCGAAGTCTTTGACCCTGAGAAAAACCAACGCTTTACAGCTTCAGAGTTTCTTTTCTTTGTAGGCTTTAGAGTTGCGATTTAGTGTGCACACCCCAAGGGTGCAAGTACCCAATAATCATATACTAACCAAAATCCTAACCTACATATAGCTACTATCCGAAAGCCGAGTACCTGATTATTAAGTCCTCTGGACCCTTGGTTGAGTGAGTTGAGTGACCGGAGCTTTGTTTGAGAGCTTTAGAGGTCTGGGGTTGCCCATGTGGCGTTGAAGGTCAACCCTGAGCTGGACCATGGCTTCCGGCTAGGCTTCTAGTATTTAGGGTTTAGGGTTTAAGGTATAGGGTTCAAGGGTTTATAGGGTTTAGGGTTCAAGTTCTTTTGTGTTAAAGGGTTCAGGGTTTTCGGGTCTAGGGTTTGTTTTTTAGCTTTCCTACCTGCTAATTTAGTCTAGGGCTTAGGGGCTTAGGGTCTATGGGGGTTGGCCTTCTGGTCTAAGGCAGCTGACCATAATATGGGGCCGAATAGGGCGTTTGGATAGATCATAGCATAGTCAGAGGATGTCAGAGGTGCTACGTGGTACTAAGTTTCCAGACCCGCATATTACGCAGAGTTAGGTGTAGCCTGCTTCAGACCTATGGTAAATAGAACACTACTTGTAGCTACTTCGAAAGTCTCCTCATGCTTTAATATTTAAGCGATAACGGGAACTCTGTCACTAACAGTGAAAATTATGGACTGAAGCCATGACCGCGTATGAAACCCATGAAAGTATTACCTAAACCTCAACCCTAAAACCTATACCTTAAACTCTGAGCCCTGTATATGAAGGCCGCCGAGCATCTGGTTCATGCCCCAGGAGATTGAGAAGAGCCCATAGCAGATGATTCCCAGCACCGTGTATGCCCAAAAGAATGCGCTGAAGGGTACACCCAAGTCCTTGGGATGTGTTGGGCTTTCAATCTGAGGGTATTGCCAGTTGGCTATAGGGCTTAGGGTTCTGGAGTCGGAGAGCGGCAGTAGTAGCACTAGTCACTAGTCACTGGTCGTGGCAGCAGGCGCAGCAGCAGTAGTAGCAGTAGCAGTGGTAGTAGCAATACACTTTGAGAATCCAAGAGGTGTTTCTACCAGGCAGCCCCTTTGAGCCTTGAGGCACCGAAATCCTACAGGAGGCCGTTGGTGTAGATTCAAGAATGGGGAACCTGATAGTTCTCATCTAATTCGGTTCAAGAGTCTATAACAGTATGATGATTAAGGGACCAAAGAATCATTCACACTTTTGTAATGAAGGCAAGGGAAGATTGAGATCTTGAGCCAGCACCCTAAAGCGCCAAGAAAAGTAACAGGGCTGGGGGCTTGGCGGACATGTTCGAGTATGGCTATATTCAACACCCATAAGGAATAGTGTCTGTGCTTCATCCGACTAGATTTCACGAACAGTGTCTCCTTTGTGCTATCTGGATCCCCCTGGACAAACTTGGGGGATTAGGGCGCTTGCTCCCCACAATCCTACATCTTCAACTCGCAGCAGCCTCCCTACCAAACACCCACCAGAGGGCCCCCAGAGATTCCCCAAAATCGGGGCTCCAAATTTGGAATCGGGTCTCTGCAGGATTTTATCGGGATTCATGCGGGCTAATTTGTTGGCCACGATAGTGAACTGGCATCGGATCTTTGGGTATCGCGGACAGATGCTTGAGCAATGAAAGTGATTAGAGAGTGATTTGGACTATAAGGGGCTATTGTTACTATTGGAAATCATTCCGACCCCGACATTACGACTTGATTGCCACATCTTCCGACCCCTATATTGGGGTCTAAAATGGGGACGGCTAAGTTCGACAAGACCTACTCCTGTTCGGACCTCAAGCTCTACCGTAAGGTTGGGCCCCTTGTTAGAAGGTTCCTCTTATTTAGGATACGGTTGCTGCCTCTTATCTCTGAACTCGAACATCAAAATCACTGCGTACGGGGATACACGACGAGACCAAGACGTTTACGCAAGCATGTGTGCATCATACACACGTACGTGGCACGAAAATGCATATTTGCCTACCCACCTGCCTCCCCCCGCTGTCCACCTAACTGCCCACCTGCCCTCCTGCCTAGCCGCCTGCGGCCGCGTCAGTGCAACAGTCGCGACAGCTGGAAGCTTGCGACCCTAAAGCTTTACGGTAGAGTTCCGGATCACTGATTGAACACCGAAAAACTCTCAGGCGCAGCCGAAGAGTCATACAACACTTTGAGCAGTGGGAAGATGATGGTGCCGGCATCGAAGAGGCAGCTGTTCACCTCAATCAGGAGCGTGAAGCCTCGGTCAGGGCTAGGTTCAGGTGGTACAGGGCTCGGCTGTCAAGAATACTAGGAGGGCTTTCTGTAAGAGCACTCTGAGGTGTACTTCGTGTTTCGGGCTTCGACCTACGGATTCAAGGTTTGGGGTTTCGAGTGTCGAGTTTAGGGCAACGGATTGGGGGTTGTAGGGTTCAGGGCTTAGGGCAAACCCCAGGCAAGAAGGGAGCCCCGCAATCTGGACCATTCTCTTATTATATATTCGTGAGCAAAGAGACGGAATATAGTCTTTGGCAAATTTGCGCTGGACAGTCTGAACATGGACAACGAGCTCAGACAACCATAAACCCGAAAAGGGAAGCCCTGAATTTTGACCCACTTCAAGCTCGACTGCGGGCAAGGTGCTTGAAGGAATGATGAATGGCGCTTGATAGCCGATAAACCTCGGAGAACCAGCTCAAAAAACTTAAGGATTGCAGACCCCTGATTGATAAACCCCATCCCTTGGAGCGCCTCAATCTTAGGATCCCTATCATAATCCCTTCTATGAAGTATCTAACTTTCTAAGATGAACCTGCAAAAAGCTAGGCTCATGGTAGATTTAAGCAGTTCTTGGTTCAGGGCTGCGCAATGAGAGGCTCGGATGTATACGAAAGCTCATAAGGTTTCAGCTTCGGCAGAAAGCAAAATCCGCCTGAAGGCAGGAGGCCCAGACCCCCCCATCTCTGAGGGATTAAGGATTAGAACTGGGGGTTCATAAATAACAATTTAGGAATTAGGGTTTAGGCTTGAGGTGTTTAGGCCTTAGGGTTTAGGGTACATGTTATCACTGCACGGCCATGCTTGTAACTTTGTCTGATACAAGAAGCCAGCGTTACGGTTGGTGATCCCTGAACGAGGAGCATTGTCATAGACCCGCCGACGGCTGTAAGCACCGTTGACCAAAGGAAGATGTCGAAATGACCGCCCTCTGCCTGCAACAGGGTTTAATGCTTCGCGTCCGGAAGCAACACAGGGCATGATAGGAAGCAGTGGCAGGATGCTGGTAAACATACAATCACGATATACATGCAATGCAGGGACGGCTGCAGCCGGCATCCTCGCAGCTCAGCATCAACATCGGTGCAGGTGTGGGAAAACCGTGTCGTTCAACCCCAAACCGTATACCCTAAGCCTGAAACTCCAAAAACCCTACATCTGCAAAGTGCTATTCCTGACCCGCCCCCCCCCCCCTCACAACAACAAGCACACACACTTGACACATCGTGTCGCAGGTCTGATCTGTCAGTGCATACTGTCAGGAAAAGTCAGCAGCTCGAAGCAAGCCCTCACTCAAACACAGCTCTGAGTCACACCTGAATGATCAGATTGCAGCAACCATGCAGGAAACTCGACAGTGGCAAACATGAAGCTGTCACTCTAGTATTGGTTACTCCAGTGCCTCAGGGGGCCCACTGGCTAATCCGAAAGCAGGTACACAGTGGTGATCAGCCACTGCATCCACTCCAGTGATTTGGCTTCGTTGGGCAAGGCTAATCACTGGAGCCCTTGCCCCCCTGCATGACACACAATCGACCCTTCGGAACAGGGATGGACACACACAAGCCCGACTGGGCTCGTTGTAGGAGCTTGCACATCCCTTGCACGTCACTTGCACATCCCTTACACGTCCCTTGCACGTCACTTGCACGTCCCTTGCACATCCCTTGCTGCTTTTTCACTGAATTTCATGGGAGAGTCTTATGCTCAAGACACCTAGGGGAGTGGGCTACGAAACCTCAGGAAGCGCAGTCTGTGCACTAAGTGCAATTCAACTTCTGCTTCTTCCGCATCGGCATCGAAGTACATGCAACACTGAGTTGCAGTTTGGTACGCAACGCTGGCCAGTGACACGATACTCACTCGCAAACGCTCCTGTACTAGACCTACGACAGCTCTCATCCACCTTTTTGACGGGCTGCTCAACATGGTGCATGCCACGACATTGATTTGTGCAAAACGGATGGTGGTATGCAGAGACTGAAAACCCATGGTCCACTTAGCCGAAGAGGACAGCCGAAACTCCTGTATCCCACGTCGCAGAAAAGTGTACGCCACCATGGTGTCAGTAATGGGTTGTGCCTCTTCAAAGTCATCATCTGGATCGAGACGGGTAATGAATGTGATTCTGGTTCTGATCGGCAACACGTACATCAAGACGTTATCGAGCACATCAGAAGCAGCCCAATCCATGGTGTTCGGGGTCTACACAATTTTCCGAGTGCTTGAAGCAAAACTGCACTTGCACAGACCTCACACACCCTTGCATATCACTTGCAATTCGCTTGCGCATCACTTGCAATCCGATTGCACATCCCTTGCTCGTCACTGCTCTTGAATTGACACGGAGGTGGGCTCTTTTTATACCGTAACGACGAAGTCGACTGGTTCGAGGGTTTGAGCAGTCGTAACAGGTTCTGTAAACCGAAGGTGACGAAAGTTTTGTACAAGCTGGAAGGTGTGCAACCTACGCCACCAGCCGAACTTCTCCCAAAGCTGCATCGCGACAAGGTATTTGGCACCGTTGATGGAATCGTCGATTGACAACTGGATGTGGAGAATAATAGTCTCGTGTCCGGTTGCCCGACTGCATACACGAACCCACATCCGAAAATTGTAGTCGCGGCTGGTACTCCAAGGCAAATTGGCTTCGCGAGCCTTGCGCTTCATGATGGACAACCTACACGGTTTCACTGGATGTCAAATGCTGCAACTCAAGACGGCTCATGCAGAAACTCTTGCACATCCCTTGCACGTCACTTGCACGTCCCATGCAGAAACTCTTGCACATCCCTTGCACGTCACTTGCACGTCCCTTGCACATCCCTTGCAACGCCCTTGCACTGACACTGGCACACAAACGCTTGTTTGCAACTGCTCTCGTTTCACTCTGAGACTTCAATTTCTGCTGGAAGTGTTGGGGGCAACTCTGTTGTTTCTTGAAGTTGAAGAGAATTAACGCAATGAGTAGTCACAGATTGAAGAGAATTCAGATCCGTCAGCAAGTTCCCCACCACTTCGTTGGTCTTCTGAAGTTTCTGAAACAGTTCTGTGGTGGCGGACATAACTTCCGCCACCTGAGCCTCAGTGTCCCTGATTTGTGTGGTGAGCACGTCGAGTTGGGCTTGTTGGATCTTCTGGACGGACAATGCTTCTTCTCGAAAATGACGGAATTCACCTCTGATTGTGATCAGCTCCTGTTGTGTGTAGGAAATCCAGCGTTGAAGAGGTGCCAACGGATCGCACGCTGAGTTGCTCGACATTAGCGCAATGAAACGAGACTTGAGCAGGGTGCTGCAACACTGTTCTGGTGTGTACCACAACACGAAAAAACAAGTACTCTCAGCACTGGCGTCCACGGCACAGTTTTTCTCACTTCAGCACTCGCATGTGTTACAGATACAAGTGAAATCCTGTCACATCAGGCATACTCAGCTAAGATCAGACGATTGACTGCGTCGCCGTCGGCGTGCTACACGTCTTCTGGTAGGCATAGGTTTGGATCTAATCGGAGTACCTGACGCGGCTGAAGATGTAGGTGCGGCCGACGACGAAGCAGCACTGGACCCCAAAGGAGGTTCAGACACACGATGCGCCAAGCTTGCTAGTGGTACCGGGGGTGGAAAGACAGGAGCACTGGTACTGGGCGGGGGGAAGAAGGGAGGGGGAAGAGGGGGAGGGAGGGGAGGAGGGGGAAGAGGGGGAGGGCCAGGGGGAGGAAGGGAGGGAGGTGCAGAACTGG